TGAGGGGCATCGCGTCTCATAGTGGGCCTGGCCATGTGGTCCTCTCTGAGGACTGGGGGCTCTTATTGGGATCACTGTCCTCAAGGCTTGGTGGGCCAGGATGTGCTCCACTGTCTCCTCATCCCCCTTCATCTGCACCCGTGTGCTCCGGTCAGATATGTCCTTCTCCCAGAGCTGCAGATTCAATGCCATCTTTTGAAATAAATTCTTCGTGGGGGAGGGGCAGGTGTCCACTTAGTATTTGAGGTTGGGGATAACCCAGACCTCTCCACTGGTTCCCTAATCCACGCAGGCGTGTTGCATTCACATCTTCGAGCACTGGGTTGAAGTCTGTTCCCTCTTTCCCTGTGGAGATATAAACAATACCCTTCCCTTGGGTGGGTTAGTGCCCTGTGCGCCCCCTACCCATCAAATAGTCTTTATATACATTTACTCTATAACTGGGAAGAAAGATGTGATTTTAAAGAAATTTACTTTCTCTTTATTGATATGTAATGTAGGACTGTTATGATAATTCTAATAGTTTTCTTTCACTAGCAACAATAAGATAAAGATAAAAAGTATAATTTTCTGGATATATTTGTAAAGTTTAGGTTCAAGCAATTCAAATAGGTTTTTGTTTTGTTTTGTATTTTTTATGAATGAAAGATCTGAAAGAGATTTAACAGTAACCTTGAACTAGATTTAAAGATAGCATTAACATTAGAAAAGCGAATTTTCTGAACAAATAAGCATTTGCCAATACATTCTTGTTAAGAACTTTGACTTTGTTGGTTTCAAATCCTGGCTTATGGTTGGGAAGAAAATCTGTATGTTGTATATACTCGTGTATAAGCTGAGTTTTTCAGCACATTTTTAATGCAGTTTTGTGGTAAAATTGGGTGCCTCGGCTGATATTCGGGTCGGCTAATACTGAGTACATACTGTGTGTGTGTGTGTGTGTGTGTGTGTGTGTGTGTGTGTGTGTGTGTGTGTATTTGTTGTTATTGAAACTTAAAAAAATTTGTTTGTTTGTTTGTTTGAAATATGTTGTTTCATCAACTTTGTTCCAACTTAGGGCCACTGAAAACATAACATGTTATATTAAGATATGCAGCGTGGTCTTGTGTTATCTTACTGATCGTTTGTTTGTTTGTGGCTATTTTGTTAGTCCATCTCATTGAAGATTCCCCTCATTTTCACAGACTTCCAGATAAGAAGCTTTGCTTTACCCACGCACTGTCCTTTTCCAGCGATTATCTTTCCCAAAGCAAGCTACCCTCATCATCCTCACCTTTAAGGCACAGTCTGGTTGGATTTGAATATCTTGGAGTTAGTAGATGTCCTTGGTCTTGCTTGTACATAGAAGTGGGTCTTCTTAGCACTGTAATAATTTTTTCATTCCTTATATGAAGTATTAAGGCTTTCACAAAGTATTGTCCTTTAATTGCAAGAAAGAAAAACAAACCAGTTCTACATGAGTTATCCCACATTTTAGAGCTTCAGAAAGTAAACTTTTAGTACTGGAAAAAATCAATTTAAAATAGGACATCAGAGACCTAAACTAAAATTTCAACCTGGAAGGAATTTGATTCTAATTACATTTCAGAAGTAAGCTTTTAATAGAAAGAAATGCATTGCCATTTAATTTATTCCTGCTGTTTTATCCATTGAATTATGGGATATATGACAAAATTCCATCCAACATTATTATTGTGGCACAAACCAAAAAAAATTATTTTCAGCTGTTCTTAGTGAAAATATTCAAGAGTGTTAGGCTGGACCATTTTTTAATCATTTAGGGGGAAAAAATCTATATATGTGTGTATATTTATTTAGTCAAATTTTCCTTATTATCTTTTTAAAGATATACTATGCTAACATTAATATTTCATAGTTAACTACGTAATAATGTCAGACCTTTTTAGTGACCAGTGTGCCATAGTTTATCAACAAGAGTCTTGGTGGTGCTACTTTTTCTTTTCTTTGCTTTTTTTTTTTTAATCGTTTATTAGGGCTCATACAACTCTAATCACAATCCATACATACATCACTTGTGTAAAGCACATTTGTACATTCATTGCCTTCATCATTCTCAAAACATTT